GAACTATTTTCATAAGGGACAATTATTTTTAGCAATATGTCATTTTAAGTTGTCGCGAGCTGATAATGTTACGTTATAGTACGAAAGAATTATAGGATAAAATTATATGTGTGACATATAATAAGAGAATATTCTGTGCTAGGTTTCTCATATATTAACGCAGTGTGGATAAACGTTAGTCTATCCTTTGCGGGCCAAAGGAGATGCACACGTTATAATTATAGTATATATAATATATTCTGAAAGAGGCACACAGAAAGTGGCGGCTGGTCCGGTTAATTACACGAGACGGTAATTTTATCTGTCGTCTTTCTTCCTGTTTTATTAATCGGATGTTATCCGTTTTCCTGTTCCTTTCGGTCGACGTTCCTCGACATTATTTTGACCGCACGAACCGCCACTGATATAGAAGTATATGATGTATGTAGAGATATATGTATAAAAATCATCATGTACATTTAATAACAATCTACAGCAACGATATGCACGAGGTGTATACACGTTGCTATGTGTATGTGTAGTGTGAATGGATGGATGTACGCGTGTATGTTTCAAGCAGAAATGTAAAAGATATTCATGTCGCAGTCTCTCGAGAATTTTATGTTTCAAAGATAGAATATAGCGAATGAGATGCAAATTAATTAAACACACATCTAGCAGAGTCATAAATGAAAACTATGAATGGAACTGAATATCACGATATGTCCTGCAAACGTATATTTTCCGGTTTTATTCTGTTTCATTTCTTAATTGTGCTTGTATTTGATAATTTTGTTTTTTTTAATTTTATAAAGAAAACTTAAAGGAAGAAATTAAAATATCTAAAAATTTAGCTAGATCTAATCTATGATTTTGTTGGAATATTAAAATAATTATGTAAGATGCTCAAACTGTGTGTGTGCTAGCTAGAGTGTCAAAACTTTTTGCAGTATTGCTTTCATCATGCTTGAATTTTCTACATAATTATTTTGATGGTATAACATTTTGACAAAATTATTCTTAGATCCGTATCTATCTAAATTTTGTATAGATACTACAGCAAAATTCTTTTTCTATTAAAATAGAGAAAATACGTTATCTTTCTATATATATTTAAATTTTTTCTCAATTATACTTTAATTTTCAGAGAATTCTCCACGACTCTGTTCTTAGAATATCCGACAATAGTCGAACAATAGTGTACTGAATGCAATTTCTAGTGGTATTAAATTAGTATTTCTTGGTCGATGTGCAATCAACAATTTTATTGATCTAGTCTCGCTCCGTTGCGGTGTGATTAGAATGACAATAGACATGGTTCCTCATGTTCATGCTGCTTTAAGAATTTGAAACCTCTTCAATTTATATTAAATTAGTAGCTCAGAATGTAATAAGTGTGAACTTTATGTGTCGCTTTAAATAACCGCAGTCATAAAAATTTATTTGAAAATTTACAATAAAAAAAATGTCTAAATGAAACGGTGTGACTTATAGATTACGCATTATTTCGATACTTATACGTCTCTTGATATATCAATGTTAAAAAATGTTTCAAAGATAATAATTGTTGTTATCGAGAATTTTGAAATCTATACGGAATTGATTGCGTAATGTGATTACCTTGATCTATATGAACTTCAGAACTCATTTGAAAAACATATGATGTGAGTAGAGTAAAACTATTTAAATGTTCTTCGATTGGTAATCAGAGTCTATATAAATCTGCCTAAGTCTATAGTTCTCCCTCATATCACGTAAAAATTATTGGACGAGAAGCAGCGTAAGCAAATATATAAAATAAAGACAGAAGTACAAATTATTAAACGAAATAATTAAAAGACCAAAAGTGTTATTTTTGCTTACTGGATTGAGTAATAAACTCGAATAAGTAATCTCTGCTGCAGATAACAAGTTTTTTTTCTGAATATCGTAATCCTTAATCCTTAATTCCCTATACGATTCTACTAAAATTAATTATTGACGGGATTGAAAGAATGAGAAAAAAAACAAATACTTGTTATTTGCGTCAGAATTAACATAGATATATATTTATGACTCTTTATGACTCCCTGATAAGAATATTCGATTGATTTATAAGGTGAATAAATTTATATTAATTTAGTAACAATATGAAAAAAAATCATAAAATTAGTTAACAAATGAGTCTCGTTATAATCCTTGTGGTTGTGTTCGAAAAGCGTGGATAAAATCCACTTGTATACTGTTTAGAATAGTGCATCACCTGTTCGTATGTTATTTAGATTGTCGAAGTGTCCTAAAGTTGTAAATAGTATTGGTGCTGTACGTTCTATCAATGTTCTCGCAGCAGATTGATGAAACATGAATATGAAAAAAAAAAGTAAAATATACGTTGATCGTAAATGTTGCAAACAGTGTATTATTCATATATCGATTTCCCAACCTTAGTTTAGATGTCGCAATAAAGAATAAAAAAAGATTAGATGCCATGTCCATCTGAATGGTTTCTTCAGGAAAATATTTATTTTGGAAAAGTTTTTATGTCTCTAGAGGAGATATATAAATTGAGTATAGTCTATCTAATATAGCTATTGAAAATTATAATAAATGGTGCAAATAACGTACAACTATTTTTCTTTCTGAAAACAATTTTATTTTTAAGAAATCGAAACTTTTCGGACTGTTGCAACTACATTTTTCAACTTGGTGTTGTATTACAGTAAGATGGTATCGCTTTCAGGCATTGCCTGCATTACGATAGGCGATGCGGGATGCCTTTGATTTTCGGCAGAGAAGAGGAATGGTATATTTATAAAAAAAACATACAATGAGAATCCTCTAATCGTGTTATACATTTATATGTATTGTACGTATGTAAAATTAAAAGAATATATAACGTTAAAGAGAAATGCATCGGTTAACACACTGGAATCAATACATCAATCACTGATTTTTATATAATCTCTGAAATACCTATCCTAATATTGAAGATATTCATATTTTGAACACTCACTAAAATATAGGATGGTAATTGTAAAATTTGAGCTCATTGCATGTGTTTTTCTGCTATATCACTTAGCGATACTAAGCGAGTGTATTCGTGGAAGAATATGGATTTCGCACAAAAGTCTAATACAGATTTCTTATAAAAACACAGTGTACTGATCGTGAAATGAAGCAAAGAAAATTTCAAAATTAGCAAATTCATTGTAAAAAAAATTACAGCAAATAGTTCTCTATTTTCTAGTGAAAAAAAGTGAACTCACTTAAAACAAAATAGAAAAAAATATGCAGGCAATTTCTTTCATTTATACAAAATTATATAAGTTTGAATTTTCGTGCTCGGTAACAAATTAGCGGCGATGAGAGAATCTTGGTCGATAGGAATGGATGAAGTAGGGTAATAAAGACAGCAAATAGATATGCAACAGCTAAATAAAAATGCAGTCATTACAGTATCTAGTTGATCTACAACTCTCCGCTATCCGCTATTATGATCTTTTTGGATGTCTTGCCACTTTGAGAACCCATAGCCTCCAACTGAAAAGAAAACATAAATAATGCATGTTAGCTGAGCTAATAAATATTTATAAAATTGACCTATCAAGCGAAAGATCTAGATTTCAATATTCCCTCGATCCTACTAGTTTAAAACTTAAATATCTTTATAGAAGGACATTTAAGAAAAAAAATATTAATGTTTTCTATATTTTTATAAATAAAGAGTTGAAAGATTTAATATTAGAATAAGACGTGGCTCCATATGAAAGCAGCGGGCTGATAAATAAATAATTCAGGTTCGATTCCCTTATTTTACAAACGGAGTTGAAAAGAGTTTAGAAGTAACTGAATAAATAAATTGTGTATTAAAGAGCTAAGATTTTCAAAAAAGAGAATATAATAATACAACAACAGTACATGTTAATTGTTTGTATAAGAAATATCGCTAGAAAGAAAATCATACTTTTCTAACAACATCCATTCCTTCGGTGACTTTTCCGAACACGACGTGCTTTCCATCGAGCCAGCTGGTCTTGGCACTGGTGATAAAGAACTGGCTGCCATTAGTGTTGGGGCCAGCATTTGCCATAGATAGTATACCAGGTTCGGTATGAGTCAACTTAAAGTTCTCATCTTCGAACCTGGCGCCATAGATGGATTTTCCGCCGGTGCCGTTGTGGTTGGTAAAGTCACCACCCTGGCACATGAAATTCGGAATCACCCTGTGGAAACTGCTGCCCTTGTATCCGAAACCCTTCTCTCCGGTACAAAGCGAACGGAAGTTTTCCGCTGTCTTGGGGACAACATCTTTCCTCAACTAGAAAATTATATCGAAAGTATGATTAAAATTTCTAGATATTTAATTCATATTCAATAAAAGTATGCTATACATAAATAT